CAGCTGATATCCTGGGCTGATGTCCACCCTGTGGACAGAAGGCCCCCCAGCGTCAGGCCCCCCACCCCGTGCCCACCCTCCCTCAGCCGGTCTCCTGCAGGGTGTCCCTGGGGGAGGGGGGAAGTTGGTAGGAATTCTTCACATAATCATGTCCCGAGGTCAACAGGGTTTTCTCCAGGTTTCCTTCAGAAGTTCTGTCTGTATTCACAGTGAGACCTACAGCCCCCAGTGGGTTTTCTTCTGAGTGTGAGACAGGGGTGACATCCCAGTGTTGTCAGTAGGCGTATGCAGTTTCCCGACCCTGGGGCCACGCTGGCCGTGCACCCGGTCCCACGCAGACCCGGCTGTGGCTCCCAGTCCAGCCTCCCTGGGCCGCCCTCGGCCTTAGTCCCCACGGCCCTGACCTGGCTCCCTGTGATTGTTGAGACAGGGTTTCCCGGCACCCCACACCCACTACACCACTGCTGTTTGGATTATAGAATTTATCGATTGATTTGGGGAGAATTGACAACTTTGCATTGTTGATGGTTTGTCCCTTCCTTAATTAGGTCTTTTCATTCTTTTCTCAGTAACAGTTTGTGCTCTTTTGCATGAACTTGTTTTCTAGATTTACCTCGAGAAATTTCGTTGTTGTTGTCAGTGGAGGGACTGGGGACCGAACCCAGGACCTTGTGCATGCTAAGCACATGCCCTCCCACTGAGCTATCCTCACCCCACCTGAAGAGCTTTGTTATGCTGACTTCTCAAAAATATTCACTCTGTCTGTTGCTTGTATAGAGGGAGCAGGGGATTTCTTAACATTGGCCTTGGCGGACGCCAGTCTTCTCACTGACCCACTAGCTCTGCCTCTTCCAGAGTGTCATGTGCTCCTCATAGCACAGTCGATAGCCTTTTCAGATGGGCTTCCCTCGCCTCACGTGCACGTAAGTTTCCTCCACGTGTTTCCGTGGCTCGGTGGCGCCTGTCTTTCCAGTGCTGAATCACGTTCCGCTGTCTGGAGCGACCAGCGTTTGCTCGTCAGAGTGGCGATGTTCTGCGTGTTCCGTTCTACGCTGTGCCTTTGCTTTTCTTGCTGCTGTCAGTGGCAAGGCCCCCAGGGCCGCGCTGGACGGGCAGCGGGCGTCCTCCTGGGGTTTCTGTCCTAGGGGAGGGAGCGCCTTCAGCCTTAAGTTCTATGTTTGCCGAGGGTTTCCTACAGACACCTGTTACCTGGTTCAGGAAGTTCCTGCTCTTCCTTGTTGGCTGAATTAGTTCTTACATTATGGCTGGAATTTACTTTTACGAGATGCTTGTTCTGCGTCCCTCGAGAGAGTCACATGACTCTCCTCCTTTATTTCACTAACGACCTTCAGTTGTCCCACCAGCCTTGGCTTCTGGACGGACCCTCCTGTGGCGGACGGTGGGGGTATCACCCCTGGTGTCCTGCCTGGGTCCCTGAGCCTGTGTCCCCAGTGGGCTGCCCTCCAGGCCCTGGTTCAGGTCTCCTGGCCTTTCCCTCTGTGTCTGGCCTCCTGCAGGGGCCAGTGGGCTATTTTCTCCCCGATTCTTGCGTAGATTTGCAGGCGAAGCCACCTGGGCTCCTGAAACCCCAGATCTGACCTGGAGAGTCTGTTAGTGACCTCCCCTCCCCCATCGTGGGGGCTGACAGTCAGGTCCTGACTCTGACCCCTGACCCTGACCCCCACCATGTGGGGAAACATGGCTGTGGTTCTGACCCCTGACCTTGACCTCCACCACGTAGCGGGGTGGCTGGGGGCCTGGCAGCCCAGGACTAAGTGCCAGGGGCCTCGCCCACCTCCTGGGTTGGGGTCGGGGCTGCTTTCTCTCCTGCCTCCCCGCGCTCTGAGCAGCGGCCCCTGCCGGTTCTTGGAGGAAGGATCAGGTTTGTCTAATTTCTCAGTGAG